ATCCAAGTCAAATTCAAACAATTAACATTAACATCTTTTATGGGTCCCATAACTTTTTAACCACACATTTCAAAAACTTCTATCACAATTTACTAAAAATTTAATTTTAATCCCCACCAAATACCCTCATAAATAGACTTCGTCACCGTTCAAAAAGCCTGTGGAAGACCAATCTGGTCATTTCGTTACTGGAACCAACATGACTACCGCCTGGCCGATGCCCATAGCTTCCTCCACCTCAACATATGTGGTGCTTGAAGCTGGTGCATCTAACAATCTAGTACTTTCACATCATCTACTCAACAACTTGCAGTTTGGCTCTAAAAATCCTTCGTCGGTGACCCAAAATGTTAACAGGTAGAATAAGGGACACCCTACAGACTAGGTCCCAACCATTCTTGATTCCCGAAATTCATCAAGTTTTCACGACCCATTTGATTCTCATAAAAACATGTCAAGCCCAACAAATTATTTTCCTGAAATTAGCAATAAATTCTCCGATTTTAGGTCCATCTTCCCCACATTCTCTAGTCGAATCGCCAAAATATCATGCTGAATTTAGAATTAAGACTCAAAATCTCCGATTTCAAATCCAAATTAAGAATAAATAAATAAATGGAGCTTTTCCAGTTACAAATTTTCCAGTCAGCCCTTCACAAAATAGGTCACTCTTAAGAGATCTCCACTGGGCCCGTGAAATGGTTTTATTTTTTATTTTTGTTTGTTTGATCTACTTTATTCGGCGTTAATGGGGAGGGGCGGGAGAGCTTTGGCCAGTGGTGCCACTTTTTGTGCTTGGTTTTGGAGTGGGGAGTGAGATTTTGGGTTTGGTTTTATTATTATTATTATTATTATTATTATTATTATTATTATTATCATTATTATTATTATTATTGTATTTAATTGTATTTTATATTAAAATGGTAAGTTACTATTTTGCCATTTTTAAAATTGGTCAAAACTTACTATTATAGTCAACTAACAATCAAATGAATGGTTTTCATCAATTTGTACTTAAAATGCAAATTTCATTAAGGTTTGGTGTTGTGGTTGACACAAATGAAAGGTTTGGATCAAATCTACAATAAAATAGAAGATTTGATACCGTTGCTGCAATTCTCCCTAAAATTTACCTTAAAACATGAAAATGAAACAAAAACAAAAGAAAGGACTAATAATTGTTATCTTATTCTAGGAAGACTTCAAGAAGTCCATGCACAAATTTATGAAACAAAAAAGTTAAAAGGCATACAAAAGGCTATTCTTTCCCAGCCAATAGTCTCAACTTCACTTTGGAAATAATGCAATCTCGACATTATTGAAGTCAAAAGCCAGTTAATAATAATTTCTCTCAATTACATCTTACGATTTTATTTACTTAACTTCTAAGAAATAAGTTTTAATTCGTACCAAATAGAGGCTATTGAAATAGAAAATATAGTGCAAATGGTCTTTATTAAATTTGCGTAAATCAGTCACTATTCATTTCTTTTCTTGACAATTAGTCCCGATTTGGACTCCATTTATAAATCTTATTTTTTTTTTCATTAATAGTATATTTTACGAGACTAATTTTATCAATTTTCAACTGAAAGATTATGAACTTATCTTGCAATTTAAGATAGTGCTCCACTTAAATCTCATTTTGTACCTTTTGTCATTTGCAAAGAGGTAAGGTATTTAGTGAGCCTTTTCGTCTTTTGGATTCTTATTTAGTGAGGCGAAGCGATAGAGGAAAAGAATATGAAGCATAAGAGGAGCCCCTTCTCTCTTGATCGAAGCAATCTCATGGATTCGTCTTTTGGATTCTTATTTAGTGAGACGAAGCGATTGAGGAAAAAACGATGAAGCATAAAATGGTGAGTATTGGCGATGACAATGGTGAGTACTTTTTCATTCTTCTTAATACTTATTTAACAGTGGAATATTGTAAATTTAAGTTTTTTTGTGTTAAAATTTGGCAGAAGTTACATTAGAAACAAGAGACTTTTGTCCTGCACACTTGTTGTTCAAAATTGAGTCATTCTCCTTGCTTTCAGAGAATAGTATAGACAAGATTGAATCAAGTGAATTTGAATCAGACAATAAGTACAAATGGTATTTCTTGTTATCAAATTATCAATAATCATTTGTACAAACCCACTTGTTTTCCATAATTTTCCATGTAAATTTCTCTATTAGGAAGTTGATAATATATCCTGAAGGGCGACGCGCAGAGGATGGAGCAAATCATGTTTCTGCTTACTTGGTTGTAGAAAATAAAAGTAAACAGGATGCTGGCTGGGAATTGAATGCGTTCGTCAGCATCTTTCTGTTTAATCGCAAACTTGACACATATGTGTTTAAGAAAGGTATTATCTACTACGAAATAGAATAGAAGAGCATTTACTANGCTTAATCACAAACTTGACAAATATATGTTTAAGAAAGGTATTATCTACTACAAAATAGAATAGAAGAGCATTTACTATAAATTTAATCTCAAGTTAATCAGTCGGTGCAGGTCAACGACGTTTTCATCTGCTAAACCCTGAGTGGGGCTTTTCCAAATTCATCATGAAGGAAACTTTGACAAATCCAAGTAATGGATACCTTGTCGATGATAGTTGTGTATTTGGAGCGGAGGTTTTTGTTGTCAAGAACGAAGGAATTAGAGAGTGCATGTCTATCTTGAAAGTAACTAATTCCTTTAAGCATGAACTGAAGATTTCAAAATTTTCAGAATTGGAAAAGGAATGGAATTCTCAAGAGTTCAATGTTGGGGATCATAAATGGTACGTCTCTATGTGATTTTCTTCTGCAACGATACATCTTTCCTTTACTAGACCTCTCGATTCCAATTTCTTTTGTTTTTTTGTTGGTAATTTTAGGAAGGTTTGTGTGTATCCGAAAGGAAATGGAGCACAAAAGGGAAGTCATGTTTCCATTTTCTTGCATAAAGTAGGATTTTCCTCAGGTGAAAAAGTTAAGGCTGATTGCTCCATATGCATAAAGAACCAGTCTGGAATTGGCAATCACAAGTATCAATGTAAGACGACAACTTTCTTCTGTTGCTGAACTTTATGTTACTAATGTTATCATGATATTTGAATTCAATATTTTTGCAGTCAATCGCTTGTTCTCGGCTTCTAGCAGCAGTTGGGGATGGTCTAGTTTCATTCCAATCGCTGATATGAAACAACCAGGATTTTTAGTTGGAGATCTCTGCATTATTGAAGTTGAAATTTCTATTCAAGCTGTCTTACGTAATTTACCGTAAGATTCCATCTTCTGGAATAAAATTGGATTTAAAATGTAATGTTGCGTGCTTTTTTTTCATTATTATTACGCGTGTCTAGATTGTAACGTTATATTTATTGTTTAATTAATATAATTATCCTCGTTGTGACTAAGTATATTTATTACACGTGACTTGATGCTCTAGACGATCGACATGTCCATTAATTTAAATTTAATATGTTTATAATTTTAGCGAATTATTGTACAATATTTTTATTTTATTATGTGTACTTTTAACATGTTTTGTGATACATAATTAATGCACAATTCGAGGTTGTGCGCCTCCTCAGCAGAAAAGAGAAGAAGGAATTGAAGAAATTGGATATATATTGCTTGTCTTCTTTCC